TAATGCCACTTAATGATGAACACCTACTGAAACATTCGATTCCAAATCTCGATATGTTGTCTGGTAATTGTATTGAGACAAGTGAAATGAACCCCATAAAACAACTCTCACCAAGATCAAAACAATTTCCTCCAATAAATACAGATGTCAAGTTTGTGCAACTAAGAAAGACACATTCGCCAATACTATTGTCACATTGTGCTATTTTTATCGATTTTAATGACATACAAAATTCAAAACAACGATCCCATATTGTAAGTAAATATGATGGAAATGTGACCGACTCTAATTTGTTACAAAACCCAAACAAATCCGTTGACAAGGTAACAAGACCTCCAGGAAGTTTAATGGAAGTGATTTTGTCGCAATGAGAAAAGCTGTTATTACCTATTTTAGACACTGACTGTGGTATATCAATCGACACAAGAGATTGACATTGTGAAAAACAGTTATCTCCAATTTCTTTTAATGCATCAGAAAGTGTCACTGAAGTCAATGAAGTACATTTAAAGAAACAATTTGTGCCAATTGATGTGATTACTTTTGGGATATCAAAAGTTGTGATTTGAGAATTTTTTAAATAATTTGCACCAAGCGCCTTAGTTTTATATGGGATTGTGTCACCGTACTTTTCTCGGTCTTCTTTGGTGTATATATAATTTTTGAAAGAAAAGTTTGTGTCGCTGTGAAGTTGAGCAAAAGTGTATTCAACTCCAAACCATATATTAATTCTAAAAAAGTCGATTTTCTTTTGAGAATTTTCTTTGGTTAAGTCAAAAATAGTATTTCCAAAAAATTCGTCGTTTTTCGACCAAATATTTAAAGTCTCAATGTTTGAAAAATATTTTATTGTTTTAGATGTCAATGGAATGGGGTTACTATGAAACTTTTCCATATTGCATTGATATTTTTTTACTCACACTTTCTATTAAAATGAAATCTTTTAATAACGAAAAATATTGTGTGATAACCATCATGTGGTAACCATCTATCTTACCCATTGTTATGTTTATTATTTTATAATAATAAATTCAAGTTCAAAATATAATTAAAAAAACAGTTATTATTAATTTAATAAAAAATACTAATAATCAATAGTTTAATTTTTTTATATAAAATTTATATACAATAAAAAGAATAAACTCAATGCACAGTAAAAACTCAATGCAAGAATAAACAATAACAAAAATAAATAACAAAAATTAGTTTGGTTTTAGGTAAAAAAATAAAAATATGACCAATAAATTCGAAAGATTTGTAAAAATCAAAAAGAACTTCCTATTTAAAACAGTCAGATTAAACACGTAAATTAGTCAATATAAAAGATGAAATTGTAACTAAAATACATCTTAACATGGATCGAGGTCTTAACGGATCTCTCCTTGTTAAAAACAAAAAATTGAGTAATTTATCACTTAAAAGGTTTATGTTTTTTTCCTTTGCTATGAGTTCTTTTTTTGAGTCTGGAATTCAAAAAAGTCACTGAATGGCTATTAGGAGATGAAACAATTGATTTACCTTTATGAATTAACGACGGCATCTGCGTCTGGTGTAATGGTGGTGTTTTAGATACCGGTTTGGACTTTTGAGGTTCAATATTCGACATGGTTTGATCACATTGAAAAGAAGATGTAGGCAAGTTGTTTTTCAAAAGTGAATTGTCATCACTTTCTTGATAAATAGGTTGGATAGCATATTTATCAATTGGTTTACTTTAACTTGGATTGTCTGATGTATCTATTTCTAGAAATACTTCAGTCTCCATTGGTAATGACACATTTTCTCCAAAAACATTAGTGGCATCAGGGATTGTCAAAGATGTATCCATAAAAACTTGTTGTGTCAAAACAACATTATTACTACAAATGACGTGTTGTTCATGACACATTGCTTTATCGACATCAATCTTTAGTTGTTGAGATCTTCTAAGGTGTTTTGACCTTGTTTCTCAATTTCGAGTTCTTCTGGTACAACAATCAAACTTTCGTATCCATCGAGGGTTTTAATTGTCGGGATTTCCTCGACCATTCTTTTGGATTCTTTCAGATCTATGTATGCGTAATACTGACCATCTTCTCCTAAACGCGATACAATTCCCGCTCTCTCAAAAGAATTTATGATTGTAACTGGGTGAAGTGCCTTGTTGGCCGACTTAAGAATGGTTATCAACTTGTTTGAAATTGTAGACCCCCAAGATGCTCTTTTCTTTTTAATCAACAAATCACCATAACCTGGTCCAGACAAACAGGTTTCTTTGATGATATTGGTCATGTCGTCCTCTTCTTCTTTTTCGATTGACTCAAATACACGTTCTTCGTGTTCCAACAACCTTACGATTGAATCTAGACTGTCTACTAAATTTTTTGTTACTTTGGTGTGTATGTTGTTGGTTAGATTGGTCAACTGTTGTTCTGTAAACAGTGAAGTTTCTTCTACGTTGCATCCATTACAAACAACACCAAATAGAAAGTCCTCGTACTCTTTGGTTTTACTTGGACAAGTTACAATGGCATCTGCTATCGAAGTGAGAAAGGTTTTGAGTTGATTCGCTATTCCACTGGGGAATATACCAAGGCACTTTTTGCGCTTAAACTCTTCTGCCATTTCAAAAAATTCATTGGGCAGCAACTGTGGAAATGATACTTTTAAACGTTGGATTTGGTCAAATGCACTTTCATTTTCATTTTGGATATTTGTAGGTACAGTGTCATTTTTAAATGAGTTGACACTCTTTGTTGTTTTGAATACACGTTTCAACGATTTCATTTCTCTTTAGACGGATCCAAATGCAACTAAGTCAAGTGGTTGGCATAGGTGACTGGTGTGTGGAACCAGATAATGAACCACGATGTTGTTTTGCAACAAGATTTGTTTAATACCATTATCAACATGGCATCTACAATTATCCATAATCAGTATTGCATATTCACTATTATGGTATCCATTTTCCATTCTGATCTTCTTGATCCCTGGAATGAACACTTCTTGTATCCACAACGTAAAGATTTCACTGGTAACAAAACCAGAAGTGTTGCAATACAACTTAATGTTTCTAAAGTATTTGTTCAAAACTGTACTGTAATGAACTTTATCAATACACAAGATTTGTTGATTCTTTCACCTGCAAGACTTATACATTCAATCAGAGTGGTTGTTTTTGATTTTTATCCATTGGCAACACTAATTTTTGTATTGACTCCTTTGGGTACCATAGCTCGTGTGTTCTTTCGACTTGATTCTTCAGATGTTCCCATCTCGTCGACATTGAACAACATTTTGTCTTTGATCTTGTAACTGTTCAACTTTTCCGATAACTGTTTATAATTATCAAGTATTGGTTGTGGTGCAATGTTGATTCTCTCAATTTTATCGAACTCTATTTATGATGTTTCTAAATCGAACTCTCTTTCGAGTATTTTTCTCATTGTATCACTTTGTGGTCTTGTTTTTTCTAAATACTCAACAATGTCACAAAACATTTGAATAGTCAAAGCAATGTTTTAATTGTTATATTCGACAATAACGTTCTTAATAACTGTTTTGGTGGTTCCAGAAAGCAGTGACGGCCTACCCGGATTTATTTAACCAAACTGTTGATCTTTCTTTTGACTTGATATTTGATTGGATATTAATCCTCTTGAACCCCCCAAAATGCGCCCACGACACCTTGACTAAAATTTTTTGAAGTCATTTTGTTAATAAAAATGACTTGCTCTCTGTAAAGTTTAAATGAAAACAGTTTTTCTTTCAA